TGGAATGTTTATCTAAATTTGACATTGATGACACCAAGCACTAAACTTCACCTTCGTTTCACATCCATCAGTTTGGAACTATTCTCGTTACTTTAAACAAGATATCAAACACAGATGCTAAAAACATATGTTAAACTGAGACAAGGAATGATTCATACCTGCATATACCACAGCCATTGCAATGATATTGTTTCTTTGACGTCTGCAAAATGACAAAATAAGATGGTCAGATCAGCACACATCGTCCACTCAAAAGTAAAAGCATCATGTGTTTCAGCAAATGAGGTAGTCCCTGTATGTGTGTGTGTGTTGAAGAGTTTATCCCAATGACATTCCATTTTAGCCTCCCTTTTTTCACTGTTCAACTCAGGCAGGGTATGTTAGTGTTAAAGGCCAGCACAAGTCAGACCTTGCCTCAGCTTCAAAATACTTTGGACAAATACTTCAGGCATACAAAGAATATGATCAAAAAAGATAAGGTTGGATCACAATAACCAAGTTAATATATGTATATTACTTTAGTATGAAAATTTAAACACAAAAAGCTGACAGATACTAGTTAAAAGTCCCCCCAAGTTCATAGCCAATAGACCATACACCAAAAAGTTGATACATTGGCAAAGGCTATTTTTTGGCTTTTTGGACTAAAATTTACAAAAAGATAAAATAGGTTAAAATAGCTAATAAAACAAAATGTCACATCAAACCCATAATTATTTCATTTTTTCTCTCACAAGCATCACATCCAACCACAAAAATAGTTGTCTCACATGATAAATGGGGGTGGACATGAAACTAATGTGTTGAATAAGCCTGTAAGATGAGTATCAACTAAGAAGAAGCACATTTTTGACAAACATGATCAAAACAGAATTCAAGCTTCTTCTCTAGAACCTCCCCAAGATACCGTAATCATCTGCCATAATGTTATGGGATCGCGGATCCTCTATTTCAAATTTCATAATCCCTATGCTTTATACATTTTCAATTACATGATTGGGTTATAAAGTTTTCATTTTTGAATTTTTCATCGCGATAAACAATTGGAATTGCATTTTTTGGGGGTCTGCTGGCAATGCTTTGAGTAACACATCAAATAGAATTGAGTGCAGAACATGCTTGGCCCAAATATACTTGATTTCCAAACGACAAAATTCACATGTTAAAAAGAAAAAAAAAATAACTAGTGACAATTTGGGGAGCAGAAGAGCAAGACACAGTGCAAGCTAGCTCAATTCCACTCCATGCATATTAGCATCAGATAGAATAGCTGTCAAATACTACACTCATAAATCATGTTACTAAAAACTGTTAGGATTAGTTTTGCATTCCATTTGACATCACTCATTCTTTACAACTATATAGGCGACAGTCACCGTCTTCCTCTCCAAATAAACACCTTTCTGCTTTCCTTTCAGCCGGAGTAGGGTAACCTGCAATCAGTAAAATCCAAAATTCAAAAACAAAAACAACATTGTTGAGAGAGAGCAATTTCTACTGTACAAGAATGTATAAAAAGGAGTGTGTGAATGGTCTGGGTTCTCTTCATTTGAATCTCTATTAGAGACAAATTGAACTTGTGTTATGCTAGGACATTGAATTTGTATTAGAAAATGAAAGTAATAAATAAATAAAATAAAATAAATTTATTATTGGATAAGAAAAATGAGAAAGAAAAAGAAAGGAAAAAAAAACAATAATAATAATAATCCTTCCTACCCAACAAAAAATTATCCATAATTCAAAATGTGTGGATTAGATTTATCTTAGGCGTGATTCACACCACATCAAATTTGAATCAACACTATATGTTTAATACAACCTCCTGGGACATTTTCTCCATTGGTCATATAGAACTGCCTAAAAAGAATGAAAACTATAACAAGAACTAGAGCCAAGTAAACAAGACACAAAAGGAATGTCTTACAGCGTGCAAGTTCAGAAGTTTTTCATTTGTCAACTTCTCCAAAGACCGTGCAAGCTCCATTGCTAAATCAACAAATTAGCCACAATCAGTATCAATCACTTAAGATACAGAGGTTTCAATCAGTTTTTTTAAAATAAAGGGTTCATGAGTATGAGTACACAAATTGACATGCCATGAACAGCAAAACCACAAAACAAAGGCAATTTTACAAGCACTTGGCAAGTTTGGGAACATACTAAAATAGCTAAAAGGTCACTACCAAAAAGTCAACTTTTCTCTCTACTTCTTTGCACGTCTTTTAAAAAGATGCTAAAAACATATGTTAAACTGAGACAAGGAATGATTCATACCTGCATAGACCACAGCCATTGCAATGATATTGTTTCTTTGACGTCTGCAAAATGACAAAATAAGATGGTCAGATCAGCACACATCGTCCACTCAAAAGTAAAAGCATCATGTGTTTCAGCAAATGAGGTAGTCCCTGTATGTGTGTGTGTGTGTTGGATATGTGAAGGGATTTGTAGGGAGAAGAAAAAGTGAAGAGATAAAGAGTGGTAATCTTACTGTCTTCATCATAAGTTGTGTCTCCTGAACATGTGATAATGTTTTGTGGAAAAATTGCAGTAACCTTAGTTGAACAGTGGTAATCTTACTGTCTTCATCACCGATCTGAATCGCTGAGATCGATCTGAACCTCTGAATCACCAAGCTGAATCACCGATCTGAATCGCTGAGCTGACCTTCGATTTCGATTTCAAGATGTGAATCACTGAGACCGATCTGAATCGCTGTAAACTGTCATCTCAATTTCAAATCTCAGTTGACAGCTCAGTTATATATAGGTTTACTCAAACTACAGAAATATTTAAAAATTTCTGAAGTTAAAAACGAACCTCGCCAGTACCCTTCTTAGCTTGCAAAGTAGCAACTACATCTAAGCACTTCTCAACATGTTGCAAGCCTGTTCACTTCTGTACATACGAAATAAAATGTATTAACTCAATGATATGGTCAATCCGAAATAAAATGTCTTAACCAAACAGGGCCATCTCACTCAATAGTCAATCCGAAATAAAATGTCTTAACTCAATAAGGAATATAGATTTAATCTCTCAAATTTCCAAATCATCTTGTGCAACCTCATGTTCATTCTTGCAGTTAAGTATGAAGCTCGGCTTGAGGATGGAACACTTGTGTCAAAATCTGATGGGGTGGAATTCACTGTTGGAAATGGTTTGTATTGTTGAAATTAGTTTTAATATCGTTTTTCTTTTATCTTCTTGGTTTATAGGTTATTTTCAAGTATTTTTTGACATGGTGTTGCATTCTGAACCACAAAAAACAAGATGTTAAGAAAATTAGAACAAATGCTAGAAGAAATGAAACTAGACGCATTATATGGTTGTTTACAGATAAGAAAATGGACATGAACAACTTTGTAGGTAATTCATGACAATGGCCAAAAAATATACATGTTTCATGTATATTTCTAAATTTCTTCAGTATATATTTTAGAATATACTTGTATTTATACACATACACACATACACTGCACATATACTCTATGCCATTGCTATGACAACTTTGTTCATGTTCCTCTGAACTAAAGTACGTCTAGCTTATTGTGGTTTTCCATGTCTTCAACTTATGCAAGTGACTAAGAATGGCACAATTTTATACCTGTGAATCTTCTCTAAAATATTTAAACCGGCTTATTTCTCTCCAAGGGCACTTCACATGGACCAAAAGTTGGCACAAAAGATTGATGTTGGCCTTGAATGTAGTGCACGAGAAATAAGGGGAAGGAGAGGCAGGGAGGCAGAAGTTCACAAATGATGAAGATGAAAGACCAAAGAGAATACAGAAAACCAGCTGCAAGATACCTAGTTTAACCAAAATAATTATTATGTTACACCCCAATGAGATTGACAGGCTCAACCCACAAAATCTAAACTGGTAGCAAATCTAGAAGGACAATTGAATCCTTATTTAGAAATAAAGTTTAACTAGATAAAAGAAATTGTATTGCCTCAAGGCATAAGCAAGTGATAATATATCATGCGTACCACTATATTTTCCATGCCCTAGACAGGAAACTTCATGCTTTGTCAATTGGTATTCACAATCAGGAATTCCAGAGCCTTCAGCTTCTATATTAGCAGCCTGCATAAACAAAGGAAATATGACTACACTAACATTACAAATACCAAATAAATCACGCATTAGCATACCATTTGAATATTTTGTTAGACAGAAAGCACAGAGAAAAACAAGCAAACATAAAAATTGAAAAAAAAAATAATAAAAAAAAAGTAACCTAAGCAGAAAACTATTGAGGAGAAATTCCCTGGGTTCCAAATGGTTTTACTCTTCCTTTCTTTCAAAGTTGATGGAGTTCTAGTCACTGTTTCCAACGATCCACATCCAATGCCAATTGCTTTTCCTGTACATGATCAAAGACACTAACACCGCACTCGAAACCCTAGATAAATCGATTCGCCATTGCTGCTGCTCAATCTGATGAAAGAGAAGAGTTTTCCATACAAGGACTAGAAAGAGTAAAGGAACAAAAACGAATCTCTAATTTTGTATAGAAGTGTGCTTTTTCAAATTTTGAGAAGCCAAGAACAAAATCTCTAATTCTTCTATCAATAGATAATTTCAAAGATACAAATGTAGCGCACCATGGTAGTAAAATTAATAATAACAACAATAATAATAGTAATAAAAATAATGAGGATCAATAGAAAAAGATTTATTTAAATACTTGACACAGTTTAGCATAATGCTTTTATATATCTCACTGTTCTCATCTTGATGGCCAAGCTACAAACCAACCAATCCATCGACAATGACATATGCATAAAAAAAACAAACTAAAGTGAACACGTGGTCTTCGCTATCCATCAAGAAAAATCATAACCTTCTATCCAATGCAAAGAGAAAAGCCTATTGAAGTGTTAATCTACAATTGAAGCCTAATAAACATAAAAATTATAATGTTTGAGACTTACTGATCATTGGGAACTTTCATCAAACAGAAACAGATAAAACAAATATGACCAACACCATAAACCACATATCCATATGGAGAGTCAGATTCAGTGTGGAGAAACAAATCTACCTGTTCAAGATCAATCCTAGACTCAATCTCAGACATTTGCCTTGAGCCAACGCCTCTAATCCTCCCAAAGATCAGTCTGGAGCAGACAAACACAATGAAAGTGGCAATCATTCCAAACCCAATAATTGTAGTTATCAAGTTCATGCCTGGACTAGACATAAAAAATGAAGGGAAAAAAAAAAACATATATAAAAATGTATATATAGCATATATAAATATGTGATGTTCTTGTATTGCATTGTTATGCAGGGATCTATCAAACAACCGTCTCGCAGGAACAGTTCCAGATAATGGTTCCTTTTCACTATTTTCACTATGCACATAGATACAGAGGCACATATACAGCAGAACAGAGCAGCACACAGAAACAGAGGCATAAAATATAACTCTAAATTTTCCATCATGTTTATATTAGCTTCATGTAGATGATTTCTATGAAATCTTGAAAATGAAACTTTCTATTTATGTAGCTTCATGTAGAGAGAGAGAGAGAGAGAGTGTCGATTTAAGCTTGAAATGCGAGTAATCGAGGGGTCAGAGTTCAGATCTGAGCTTTTGGAAATCACTGCATCTCTGAATCTTCGATGGAGCTTCGAAATCGGTTCGATCTGGAGCTTCGATGGAGCTTCAAAATTGCTTCAATAGAGCTTCGAATATCTGAATCTTCAATGGAGCTTAGAGAGGGTTGTGAGAGAGAGAGAGAGAGAGAGAGAGGGGGGCTCAGATTCAAAATGATGTATGCGTATGGGTTGAGAGAGGGCCTAGATACAAAATAAGGATTGAAAAGGCACGTGTGGTATACCGCATTCGGAGGCGTTTTTCAACGCCTCCTATTATAAAACGGTGCCTTTTTGGTTAAAAGAATATGCGGCGTTTATAAAACGCCGTTAAATATTAATAATAGTGACGTTTAAAAAAACGTCGTTAAAAAAACGCCACCGTATCCCCTTTTTCCAGCAGTGGTGTGTGTGAAGCCATGTGGGCTAAAACACAATACAGTGTTATTGCTATTTATTCTCCACACTTTGCTCTTAGTTTGTTGCCAATACATTGACATTCATCAAGAGAGAAGTTTAATTTGATCCAGTTGGGCCTATTTGTCTCATTACAAATCTTATTTTAGTAATTTGAATAGTTTATTTGTAAGTATTTACGTGTAGATTATTCATAAAACGTAAAGATAAATGCTAACAAGTGTCATTAACGTTGAGAATGTGAGAAAAAGTGTATTGAAAAAGTGTAAAAAAATTATAAAATATTTTTGAAATTCATAAAAAGTGTATTAAATTTAATAACACCTCGAGATTGACATATCTTTTGTCATTTTCTTGTATCCTAAGGGCTCTTGTTAGTAAGACCCTTCATAAAAAAAGGACTTGATTAATTCAATAGCCGTATCACATAATTTTATTAGATTTGTTTTTAAAAAAATGAATAGTTTATTTTAAAATTATATTTGTCGTTGATTTATTTAAGATAAATATAATGAAATCATATAATTATAATTATCAAATCAATATAATATTCTCATAGATGATCCACATATAAGGGCCTCCAAGAAAAATTACTCAAATCACTAGTTTGGCCGCACTTAACTCAATTGGACTAGACTTGACTTCTCTCTAACTCAATAGAAGCCATATCCTTTTTTTAAATAAAAAAAATGTTATGAACCCATCCTTATCAACTCATAATTTATCCCGAATGTGTTTGTGTGGTGGAGATTAAATTGATAAAATGTGAGATCCATGAATAAAATGAATTTAAACCATTATTCTTTTTTTTAGATAAATTCTGAGTTTATAAGTCTAAATTTATAGTGTTGTTGTTTCCAAATAAGCAAATAAGCAAAAACTCCACTAACTATCAATTGTCTAAAAGTAATCATAAAATTATAGTGGAGTGTAGTGATTTCTCTCTTTAGAGTAAATATTAGATGTGATGATCATTTCACTTAGTATCATCATTAATGAATAAAATTAAGTGAGGTCAAATAAGGACCACTTGGTTGGTTAAATAGGAACAAAGCCAATCCTACTCTATTCTTTTAATTAATTGTCTAAAAATACTAATAAAATGATAGCGGAGTGTAATTATTTCTCTTGATATCATATGACATTGTCATATAATATCACCATTAATAAATAACTTTAAAAGTCAAATGAGAATCACTTGGTTGGTTAAATAAGTGTGCGAGTGATTTTTCGATCACACAATCCAACTTAGTATTCAGCTGGAGAACACTGGCAGAATAGATGACACCTGGCTAACCTGCAGCAGAAAGAGAAGATTCTGGCGGTGGTTCGTCTACCCGGGACATTCCGACGGTCAAGTCAGTATATCTCTCAAAGATAATCAATAGTGCAAATCTCACTGTTCAGAATATAAATTGCGTACCTTAGACCTACGAGGGTGCCTCTCTTTTATAGCTAACTCAATCCTTGTCCCAACAGGAGCCTAGCTCTAATGGACTTAGGATTACTATCAATCTTGGAGTCCCAGTAGGATTGGGATAAACTCCCTAAGAGTCTTATCCTTTCCCAACTGTAGTCTTCTCTTTTTCTAGGACTCTTGTGCCTTATCTGCTTATCTCGAATTCCGATATCTTCGGAGGTAACCTCGGCCTCGCCGAGATAACCTCGGCGTCATGACCAAAACACGTGGCACCTCGACTGACACGTCGGCGTCACCTTAGCCACGTGTTGGTACTCAGAAAATATATCCCCACAACTGCCCCCTAGGTTCTATTATCTCGGCATCCTGAGGTGATGGAACCTATATCGGTATCTCCTTCCAGTACGTTGGCTTAAATTAGTTTAGCCGTGATCATTGTTTAAGGCCGACATGTCTCCTTTAATCAAGAATTCCAGTGAATTCCTTCACTCGTATGAGCTGTCATGCATCACTATTTCAATCGTTTCATTCACGCGTCTTATTCTCATTGGATCGTGCCTGTGACGCGCCTGTAAGCCGTCTTACGCCTGCGTACGCCGTCTGACGCATTTGCTGCTCTAGGCGCATTAACTGCCTTTTTTTGCCGTCGTTTCAAGTTTTAACAAAAATTTTTCCCTCTTCTTTCATTTCTTCACTTTTCATTCGATACTCTTGCTTTTTCTCTTTCTTACTTTTTTTTCTTGAATCCGCCATTGTTCCATACTTCAAGCTCTGCAACGGCCTTCATTCCTCCCTTTTGGTGAAGCTTTCGCCGTTCTGTTACTTCTGTAACCGTCGCCTGACTTCGGCGATCTTCATACCGGTTTCACTTTTTCTGGTAAGCCACTGTTCCTTTCGTTTTCAATTCTCTGATGCTCTTTACTACTTGTTGCCATTACTACTTTGTTTTAACATTCGATTTGTGAATCTCATATCTGAGTGTGTTTATTCCACGATTTTGCCCTTGTCCATGTCCTGAATACACGCATTATTCACCATTTTCTTGCACTTTGTACCCTTTGTACTCGCTATGTTCTTGATAGCCCATCTTTGTTCTTGATTCTGAAAGTTGTTCTTGTTTTTTGTTTTTTGTGTGTTTTTCAGATTTGTGCCTTCAATCTTCATTTCCATAGACTTAGGTTTGGAATTTGTCTGTAGAACCCACAATTTAGGAAAAAGTTGAAACCTGCATTTACCTAAGTGTTTGCTGAGGTCCCAATAACCTTTTCAAAATATCTTCTGAAATCCAACCCCTTTGATTAAGCCGATATCATGGGTATGTGGAAACATAGGATAGACACCCCATCCAAACTAAAATTTTTAGACAAGAGTTTGAAATCCCAGCCGACGTCCATTTGAGGTTGGCTGGGGATGATGACTCCATCATGCCTATTGATGACTCCATGCCTTTCCCTGTGGTAGCCTTCAATGAGTGTGGACTTCAGCTCCCACTCAACACCCATTTCCGTGAAATACTTCATTATTACAAGTTGAACCCGATGTAACTTTCCATCAAATCCTATCGATCCATCAATGGTATCATAGCCTTAGCCAAACAAGAAAACGCTAGGATCACATTAGCTGACATCTAATATTGCTACACTATGTGTGGCCGTAAAAAAGACATTGGCTACGTTTACTACCTTAAGCCGAGGTCCACTGAATACAAAATCGTTGCCGACCTCCCTGACTCCAACAAGGGAGCTGGGGACGATTATTTCATTACTTCGGGGAACTGAGAGTTCGCCCCAGATGAAGACATCCATCCCTTCCCTCTCCCTCAATCAGTCTTTGTAGAGGGCAATGGTAAGAGCCCTGCATTCATACCTACTTGTTTTTTAAAGTCTTTCATACTTCATCTATTTCTTAATGTCTGTTTTTCTTGCAGCTGTTCCTAAGCCACCAAAAAACTTTCGCCAATCCTTCATTCCCAGCAAGGATTTGAAGAAACTTTTGGACTTGCCAGTCCATAAACGAAAGGCCCCTCTGCTTCTTAATTTTATTCCAACATACAAGTCAGCGCTGCCCGACGTCCCTAGGAGGAAGGAAAAAAGTCGCTCTCCACCATCTACCACCACTCCACAAACCGCGTCCACAACTCGGATAGACCAAGGGTCAACCTCTGATCCAGCTGAGAAACCGTCAACCTCGGCTCCATACTTGATTCCAATATCCCAACGCCGCCATCAACGCCGAACAGTTTCTTCTGCCGAGATGGGTCGCCCAAAACCAGTTGCTAAAGATCTCTTAGCCAGCATTCCCTCTGACGTCGACGCTCAGCCAACACAAACCCAGCCTCCTTCAATGCCAAAACGAATCAAAAAGGCTCAACCAAAGGCAAAGGTGCCTCAGATCGATTCTGAGGATACCTTGCTAATTTCCAAACTGGCTCCGAGTGAAAAAAACTGCCTCTGTCCCTGCGAAGAGGTCCGCTGAAACACTTCCATCCGAATCTACCAAATCCAAAAGGCCGAGGTCATCTTCTGCAACGACCTCGGGGTCTAAAAAGCCTGATGCCCCCTGGGCCCCCGAAATTACCTTGGAAGATAAGCTAGTCATGGCCAACGATAGCGCTGAGGACATCAACGTCGGCGTAGCCCTCAGTACTGCTCTGCTTCTCCCCGGCGATCTTGACCGAAACACTGAGTTGAGCGAGTATGAAAATTACGCTATGATGCATCAACATTCTGTTTAAGTGAGTGTCCTTACCTGGCAATTTTTTCCTTTCTTGTACTTTAGAAGATTTTGCAATAACTTTTGTCTTGTGTTTTTTTAGGCCATCTAGCATGCCCATGCTTTCTCTGTTCAATCTTTTGAAAATTGAAAGAAGTTGACCGAGATGAAAAGGGAGTTCTCTACTCTTCAAAAAGCCAACAAAAGCCTTCAATTGAAAATGAAGAAGTTAGAGGACCAAGCCGAAGCTACCATCAAGTCTCAGATCGATGCCGAAAAGAAGGTTGATTCTGCGGAGACCATTAGGAAGGTTGTTGAGTCCTAAAAAAGAGAGGCCGGGGAGAAGATGGTCCAGACCCAAAAAGAGCTGCAGGAGGCCTTGGCTACCAAAGAGGCTGAA